GAAGGAGTTTGCCTTCCCCTGCTATAGTGGCTATTTATACATTAAAGTGATAGTAAAGTTTTTTTTACTCTAAAGTATTCCTTGCATTAAGGTAACAAAAGCGGCTCCATAGACACACAGCTTAGGCGTGCACAGACACTGTGTGCGTCCATAGCAAACGGATTGCTATAGGGACAAACCAAAAAATCCCTAATCACTGTTTAAATGAATAAGTGGTTAAATAAATGAATAAATAAATCCGATAGCTGCACTCATATGATACAATGTACCCCAAACGTGAATACCAAATGTGCTGCACTGTTTAACCTTTTTAACTGCTTGCCCGCCTCCCTATAGCAGAAATACTGCAGGTCTGCATAAAATGACATATATATGTGATTTTGCATTTTTGGGTAGTGGGTGGGCGCACCCTACCCATGCCACCATTGGCGGCTTCAGCTATCGATCACCGGGTCCCAGCCGGTGATTCCCCGCCGGCACCTGATGATTGCTGAGTATCACTGATGGGGGAGAGGTCTGTATGTAAACAATACATATCTCTCCCCTGTCAGCTCCAGCACGCTGCTTTGTATTGCTCTGCATAGCAGTGTGCTTACACTGTAAAACACACACACACAGCACACAGTTAACCCTTTGCTCGCCCCAGATGTTAACCCCTTCTTGCCCAGTGTCATTAGTACAGTGCCAGTGCTTTTTATTAGCACTGATCACTGTATTGGTGTCCCTGGGGATGTCAGTGACACCAAGTCAGTTCCTCCCCAGTGTCAGAATGCCTGCTCCAGTCTCGCTATAAGTCGCTGATCGCCGCCATTACTAGTATAAAAAAATTCTAGTATACATACCACCATTTGTAGACGCTATAATGTTCACGTAAACTAGTTAATTTACACGTATTGGGATTTTTTTTTTTAGCAAACCCATGCAGCAGAATAAATTTTGGCCTACATTTATGCCGAAATGTGATTTTTTTAATTTTGTTATTGGACATGTTTAATAGCAAAAGTCAAAAATATAGTTTTTTTTTCTCAAAATTGTTGGTCTGTTTTTGTTTATAGTGCAAAAAATAAAAATGCGGAGGAGATCAAATACCACCAAAAGAAAGCTCCATTTTTGGGAAAAAAAGGACATAAATTTCATTTGGGTGCAGTTTTGCATGACCACACAATTGTCAATTAAAGTAACGCAGCGCCGTACAAAAAATGGCCTGGTCAGAAAGGGGGTTAAATCTTATGGAGCGCAAGTAATATTGATAAACAATTTCTCCATGAATTAAGTGTCCATCAATGAACTGCATACAGTGAAAATGTAAATCCACCACTATAAGGGCTTGTTCACACTTGACTGTTTTACAAAGGCTTGCCAAATGCCCCTATAGTGTTTGGCAAGCGTTGGTCTGACGTTTGCGGAGCATTTTTTAACGCTCCGCAAACGCCGCATGCACAGTTTAATGGCGGTTGCTAGGCGTTTGCCGAGCGTTAAAAACGCCCCACAAACGCCTAGAATGAAGTTTGAATGGTGTTACCGCTCCGCAAACGCCCCGCAAACCGCGCCGCAAATGCCGGCCCGGCGTTTGCAGAGCGGCACCACAGACAAGAATAGGAGGCTTCAACGTCTCCTGACTCGTCCAGAGGCGTCCGTTTTGCCAAGACGCGACGCTACCGCTCCCGTTAGAACAGCACCATGTGCAGAATTGCCAGAGGCGTTTGGGAAGCAGTAAAAACGCTTCCCAAATGGCTCTCTGCCGCCTGCACACAACGCTAGTGTGAACGTAGCCTTAAACACAGCCTCTTACCAGATGTACAGACCCCAAAATATAGGTGGTCTGATAAGGCAAGAAGCTGTGTGGATCTCGGCTCAGATCATCTACTTGAGGAATATTCAGGCTACGATCTCCTCTTCCTAGTCCTCCAAAGAATTCAGGTGTATAAAAAACGAAATCTCCAATAGTGAAATACCACTGATAAAATGTTTTAATTAAAAACCAAAAAACTATTTACAAAGTTTAAGTACAAATGTTGCATGTGATAAGAAATGCCGCTAGGGTGCCGGCTCCAGCAGGGGTGGGTGATGTCATGAACTCCTCTTACCCCAACGTACAATTCGTCTAAACAGACATTGACAAAGGGATCAGTCTGTGCCCCTTGACAACGTCTGTTTAGATGAAATGTACAGTATGTCAGGGTAAGAGGAGTCCTCTCTGACGTCACCCACGCCTGCTGGAGCCAGCACCTAGGGGCGTTTCTTATCACGTGACATTTGTACTTAAAGCTGAGTTCCAGCCGCTTTTGAGTTTATTAAAATCAATAGCTACAAAAACTGTAGCTGCAGACTTTTAATAAACACACAATCACCTGTCCCAGGGTCTAGTGATGTTCTCACCTACGCCATCCTTTCTCTCCTTCGGCATCTCAACTGTGGGCACCAGGCTGTGACAGCTTGCAGCTATACAGCCAGGTGCCCACTGTACATGCGCAAGTCGCATTGTGCATCCTGCTTCGTCCGGTAGTCTTCTGGGATCTGTGAAAGTTCCCAGGAGATTGTGGGAGGAAGGAGGGGGCTGGACTTCCTGTTCTCTTCACAGCGGCAAACTGTGCCGGAAGTGGCAGCAGGAACCTGTCAAAACAAGGTATCCGCTTTCCAGTCCCCCGAAAAGGTGCCAAATTTGGCAGTGGAGGGGGGGGGGGGAGGAGGCAAACAAGCAGAGCTTCCACTTTTGGGTGGAACTCTGCTTTAAGCTTTATAAGTAGTTTTTGGCTTTTAATTAATAAATGTTATCAGTGGTATTAGAGGAGATCTTAGCACTGTGATTATTCCTCAAATCTGAGCCAAGATCCACACAGCTTCTTGCCTTATCAGACAACCTATAATTTGGGGTCTGTACATCTAGTAAGAGGCTGCGTATTATGGTGGTGGATTCACATTTTCACTGAATTCAATTGATTTATGGACACTTGATTCACAGAGAAATAGTTGGATTGGATTTTCTGAACCTTAATGTGAAAGTTACTTTGCTACGGGGACACATGAAGAAAAGGAGGAGCCAAGAAGAGGAGGATCGGGGCCACTCTGTGCAATTCCGATGCACAGAGCACGTGAATAAACATGTTTGTTATTTTAATTAAAAAAAAAAAACTGACTTTAGTGACACTTTAAAGTGATATTTAATCACTTACTAAGTATATGGTACAGCTTCTTTATCTTTTAATCCTTGCCTATGATCCAATTTAAGCTGGTGTCATGACTACTACCCCCAGGTTTCCTCTTTCAGGATGGCACATTTCTCTTGTAGCATCCTATGGAGCCACACTTGCATGCAGGGACTAGAGTTGTGCCTCTCTGTCGGGTGGTGCTACATGATGTCATCATGCAAATCCATTAGTGGAAGTAAGATGGTTTTTTCTATAGATGTGATGCCAAAGTTTACTCTTAAAGGGGCAATGCAGCAATTTTAAAGGGAACTTGTCCAAGTGCACTGGATAAATGTGCACTTTATTTGTGAGTGATTTTCCATTTGATTTGTAATAAAGAAAATAGTTTTAAAAATAAACATAGTGCACGATAATGGCTTTTTATTGTTTTGGAGCAATAATTGGAAAGTGGAGAAGCTGCATCTTGTACCTAGAACTTGATGTTTGATGAGGAGGAGGTGTGCTGTTGGTACCTTTGGTGAAATCCATAGATGGTGAAAGCCATAATTAAAGGGCAAGGCGCACAGTAACCTATTTACCTCTAGGTTAGTTCCTAAAGATGAGACAGATAGTGTGGATAGTGATGGAGCACTGGTGGTGAAAATTGGACACAAATTATACAGCCACAAGGTGGAGGATTTATGCACTTTATTGTGAACTCTATATGCATGGCCATGGGTGTATGAAATCAAGCACCTAGGCATGCAGACTGCTTCTACAAACATTTGTGAAAGAATGGGTCGCTCTCAGGAGCTCAGTGAATTCAAGCGTGGTACCGTGATAGGTTGCCACCTGTGCAATAAGTCCATCTGTGAAATTTCCTTGCTACTAAATATTCCACAGTCAACTGTTAGTGGTATTATAATAAAGTGGAAGAAACTGGGAACAGCAGCAACTCAGCCATGAAGTGGTAGGCCACGTAAAATGACAGGATGGGGTCAGAGCATGCTGAAGTGCACAGTGTGCAGAAGTCACCAAATGTCTGCAGAGTCAATAGCTAAAGACCTCTAAACTTCATGCGGCCTTTAAATTAGCACAACAGCAGTGCGCAGAGAGCCTCATAGAATGGGTTTCCATGGCCGAGCACCTGCATCCAAGCCTTACATCACTAAGCGTGATTCAAAGCGTCAGATGCAGAGGTGTAAAGCACGCCACCACTACATTCTAGAGCAGTGGAGACATGTTCTTTGGATTGACGAATCCTGATTCTTTGTCTGGCAATCCAATGGACGTTTCTGGGTTTGGTGGTTGCCAGGAGAATGGTACTTGCCTGACTGCATTGTGCGAAATTTAAAGATTGGTGGAGGGGGGATTATGGTGTGGGGTGGTTTTTTCAGGGGTTGTTCTTGGCCTCTTAGTTCTAGTGAAGGGAACTCTTAAGGCATCAGCATACCAAGACATTTTGGACAATTTCATGCTCCAAACTTTGTGGGAACAGTTTGGGGATGGCTACTTCCTGATCCAACATGACTGCATACCAATGCACAAAGCAAGGTCCATAAAGACATGGATGAGCAAGTTTGGGGTGGAGGAATTTGACTAGTCCTGACCTCAACCCGATAGAAACATCTTTGCGATGAATTAGAGAAGAGACTGCGCGCCGGATCTTCTCGTCTGACATCAATGCCTGACCTCACAAATGTGCTTCTACAGGAATGGTCAAACATTCCCATAGACACACTCCTAAACCTTGTGGACAGCCTTCCCAGAATAGTTGAAGCTGTTGTAGCTGTAAAAGGTGAGCTAACTCAATATTGAACCCTATGGACGAAGACTGGGATGCCATTAAAGTTCATGTGCATGTAAAGGCAGGCGTCCCAATACTTTTGGCAATATAGTGTATATAGCATTTTTGAGTTGTTGAGTATTTACAGGAGATTTACAGTATATGTCATATTTCAGTTGATCACAGTGCACAATACATAATGTTGGGTTATTATATGTTGATAATATTTTCACTACACTTTTTTGTTAGATATACTGTATACTGTATGTACCCCCCCCCCCCCCCCCCATGTGCTACTAGTGTTAGTGTAAGTAAATTTATTATGTTATGACTCCTGGTAACTGTTGTAATTAGGTTGGGTTACTACAGGTCAGGCTGGGTGACTCAGTAGGTTAGGACTCTATTTTCTCCACCTGGTTCTGCAGGACCATTTGAGAGAGCCATGCTAGCCGGGGTGTAGATGTGATGTGAGTCGGGTGGAAGATGGAGTGCTGAGGAGGCTGTCTGTGGCCTTGGAGGTGTCCCCTAGGTCTAGGGGGGCTTGGCCTCCAGGCTGGGCTCAGGTTCACTCAGGAAGATCCATTCAGCATAATGTTATGAACAGGATCATTGCCTGGGAGCAGTGGGAGCAAGAACAGAGTGAGTGCATCAGCACACCCTGAGATTCACAAGGGGAGAGACTGGCACATGTAGCAAGCTTTCAAAGGACAGCTCTGTTCTTAAGCCTTTATCCTTGTCCTGGGAGGGCTGGTAGTGTCTGAAGCCTGTGGGGCTAGGAGCAGTTCTACAGGGGTGAGCAGGGGCGTATATCTAACGCGAGGCAAACAAGGCGTTTTCCTAGGGCAGCAGTTTTTAGGGGGGCAGCACCACCTCCCGGAAGAAGGGACATGTTGAGCAGCGGTGGACAGAGCAATGCAGGGCCGCCATCAGAGGGGTACCATGGGTACTGCTGTAGGTGGCCCGGACAGCAGGAGGATCGGTATGGTGGGGGAGAGCATTTGCAGGACGATGCGTGTGTATTTGTCCCTCCAGCAGCTGAAAGCAGGTTTCTCCCGCTGGCTTTCTACTGTTGGAGGGAGAGATAGACTTGGCCAGATGGAGGGGGTGCCCTGGTGTTCCTGAATGGCCACTCTCCGCTGAGCTCCTTCCCGTGCCCACACTCAGAGCCAGGACCAGGGGAATGCCTGGAGCAGGGAGAGAAGTGGCGGAGAGGAAAGAAAAAGGGAGGAGGTGAGGTGTGTTGTGTTCTCTGGACTCCTGTCATCCATCCAGCACATGATACACGATCACTGACAGATCATATAGGACTGCACACACAGTATGATTACCACCCCCTGCCCACATTTCCTGCTGCCCAGAGATCAGCAGCACCTGGAGGAGGTGGGGGTAATCATACTGTGTGTGTGCAGTCCCATATGATCTGAAAGAGAGAGAGAGGGGGAGAGAGGTCAGAGAGAAAGAGAGAGAGAGGGAAGAGAGAGAAGAGAGAAAGGGAAGAGAGAAGAGAGAGGGAAGATGTACATATCATATATACATACACACACTTATTGAACTCTCTTGCTCTCTCATTGGGGGGGGGCCTAGGGCAGCACAAAATCTAAATAAACCACTGGGAGCGAGGAGATACTTCTGCATGTAGTTTGCAACAATCTGTGCTAACTTTCAGAGGGGCTGAGAGTCCCGAGCCTGTAAGGGGCTTGTTCTACTGATCAGTAAAGACTAACCACATTCAAGAAGAAGAACAGTCCAGGATCATTAAATTGGAAGAAAGTTTTCTCCATGCATTGATTCCGTCAAGTTGGGCATCCCATAATCCCTATTACCCCTTTCAAGTTATTTCCCCTAATAAAATAACAAAAAAACAAGCTCATAGACTGTTCGCTGACTGTGGATGCATGTGTGGAAAATACATGTTGCCTGGCTGTGTGAAGCTTAGGGGGACCCAGAAACACAGCGGCCCTCAAGAGGGTAGCGCTACATACTGTATACATTAGGTGGGTGTGGGAATACATAACAGTGTCTAGTTGCAACAGTGGGTTTTTAGGTTTTTTTCCATATAAAACCATTGAGGTATTGATAGTGCAGAGAATAATTTTGCTTCAGTTTTCCCTTCCACAAGATAACAGACTGCACTGTGCACTGTTAAGTCTTTCCTGTGAAGACCAGAAATTCAGGGAAGCAGTACTGAGAAAGCAGGATCCAGCAGGTTTAAAAGTTGTAACAGATAGTTTACCGGGGAATGCTTATTTTATTGTGCTCAATGTGTTAAGTTAAAAATGGTGAGGGTTTAGCACTACTTTAACCAGTTGCTGCCTGGTCTATAGCCAGATGGTGGTGGGGCGAACAGCTCGTCCCTCCGGGTGGACGCCATGGGGTTTATTTACTAAAGCTGGAGAGTCCAAAATCAGACTCCCTTCTGCATAGAAACCAATCAGCTTTCAGGTTTCATTGCCAAAGCTTCATTGAGCAAGCTGAGGTTAGAAGCTGATTGGTTTCTATGCAGAAGGGAGTCTGATTTTGGACTCTCCAGCTTTAGTAAATAAACCCCCATATGTCATCCTTTCCGGAACTCGCTTTGCGCATGCCCGCTGGGCCGCGCTGTGGTGAGATCTGTCACCGGCCGTGTACCTCGGACACGGCCGATGACAGATCTGTTTACCGGCCCTGTTGCCAGTACCATGTGACCTGCTGTGACCAATCACAGCAGGTCACATGACAGTTGTATACAATGGATGGCTTCCTTTCATGTCATCCATTGTATACAAGTGTGTCTAGCTGTGAATGGTCAGTGATCACATGCACAAGCTGGGCCAATCACAGCCCAGCTGTGTCATGTGATTAGCCGCCGTGGCCAAATCACAGCTAATCACAAAAAAAAACCCCCTGAATGAATCGATTTCATTCAGGAAAATGCTTGCTTATAGCAAAGTAATTCTTGCTATAAGCAAATTGTGGCTTTGGTCATAGTGCAATACGAAAAAAAAATCTTAAAAAAAGAGAAAACATTTTAATAAAAAATAATTAAAAATAAATCAATAAAAATTATCAATTTTTTTTTTTGTACTGTCACCAGTCAGTGTCCCTGATCACCGCCATGTCAGTTATATGATGAAGCTGTACTGCACTGGTGACAGTATGTAAAAAAAAAATATAGAGAAAATAATTTTTTTAATTTCTTCATTTTCTGAGAGATTATGACAAAAAAATTAAAACTTCAAAAAACTCGCCATGCCTCTTATGAAATACGTTGGACTGTCTACTTTGCAAAAAGGGGTCATTTGGGGATATCTTTACTGTTCTGACATTCTTGGTCTCAGGAAATTAGATTGGCTGTCAGTACTTCAGGATTGATCAATTTTCAGATACAGTTGTGCTCAAAGGTTTGCATACCCTGGCAGAAATTGTGAAATTTTGGCATTGATATTGAAAATATGACTGATCATGCCAAAAAATGCTCTTTTATTGAAGGATGATGACCATATGACGCCATTTATTATCAAATCGTTGTTTGGCTCCTTTTTAAACCATAATGATAACAGAAATCACCCAAATGGCCATGATCAAAAGTTTACATACCCTGGAATGTTTGGCCTTGGTACAGACACACAAGGTGACACACACGGGTTAAAATGCCAATTAGAGGTTAATGTCCCACATTTGTGGCTTTTTAAATTGCAATTAGTGTCAGTGTGTAAATAGTCAATGAGTTTGTTAGCTCTTACGTGGAAGCACTGACTAGGCTAGATACTGAGCCATGGGGATCAGAAAAGAACTGTCAAACGTCCTGCGTAACAAGGTAATGGAACTTTATAAAGATGGAAACGGACATAAAAAGATGTCCAAAGCCTTGAATATGCCAGTCATCACTTCCACTAAGAAGTAGAAAATTCAGGGACCTCTTGATACCAAGCCAAGTACAGGTAGACCAAGAAAGATTGAAGCACAACTGTCAGAAGAATTGTTCAGGATACAAAGGGAAACCCATAGGTCACTACAAGAAAAATACAGGCTGCTCTGGAAAAAGACAGTGTAGTTGTTTTGAAGGATTGATCCTGATTAATCCTTCGCTGCTGACTTGGCTTGTGACCCAACTACTCTGCTGTCTGCCGTCTGTGCCTGATCTGCCCGACCGTTACCGACCCGGCTCGTCTGACCCCTGCTCATCCAGACTGCCACAGCTCTTCAGTCCAGCAAGTCCACATCTAGGTCCTGCATCCTGCTGCACACCCACAGTCTGTTGCCAGCCAAAGCTCCGTGCCAGGTCATCTGCCACCAGACGGTCCTGCTGCTACATCTACCTGCATCTAGCCATGCAGATTACTGGACTGATCACAGGCACTCATACCTCACCGTGCTCCTGTGGCTGCTCTTCCACTACCAGTGGTCCTCGAGCTGGACCTGTACGAGAGACCTTCCTCTTCACGACAGGCTCACTATCCAGGTACATGACAGAAGCAGGCGCTATTTTCATTGAGTCTCTTGATGATAAGGACCTGACCACAGCCCAGCAATTAATGATTGTATTGTATAATGGTTTGCTGTACATTTCCTTTGTTTCCTGTTTGTGTCAAAACAAGACTCCTTAAGCCATTTCATTTGAATTGTGCTTCCCCATATACCGCCATTACTTCTGCAGCAGATAAATTAGGCTCTCATACATATCTTGGTGCCCCTTATTTGAAATCTGTTTATTTTATCTTTATACCTTGAATGTTTGTTATGTTTCAAAAGCCTGTGACCAATTGTTAGAGGGTGTGTTAAAAAAAGGGGTCTGATTTAGTGGGTGTGGCTACAACTAGGGTTATCATTTTGCTGATGTGGTGGTGGTGAGTGTGGTCTGTAGGGTGTCTGCAGATTTTATTTTGAAAATTGTGTAGCCATAAATGATTTGCCATTAAAGTGTATAATAAAAAACAACCAATGTTGCAATTTTCAGCATTCCCTTGCAGTACTTCTTTTCTGCCACAAGGTGCCCTCAGTCTGATGGCCAGCATCATTCAACTCACTTCCTCTGAGCCCAGACTGTCCTGAACCTACCCATGCCTGTGAATGAACAGTGAAAGGGGAAGAGGCAGAGTGAGGCACTCATCTCCCTGTCTTACTGTTTCCCTCCTCTTCTC